GGCTTTGTTGCTTCTGAGCTAGATGGCCGCTTGTTTACCTTCAAGCCTTTAAGACCCCAGACGCTCTATCTTTTGATAGCCGGGCACCATCAGTTTTCTTCATATTTTCTTATGCACCCATTTGTCTTCAGCAATCGTTATCAGGGAGGTGAGCACACAATGATATGATTTTTTGTTCTTTAATGCCTGATAACAGATCCCTTCAGCACCTCGTGATCATGCAGGCTGGTGTGCTTCTTCCATGTGGGCTTTGTTGCTTCTGAGCTAGATGGCCGTTTGCTTACCTTCAAGCCTTTAAGACCCCAGATGCTATATCTTTTGATAGCCGGGCACCATCAGCTTTCTTCACCACTTTTGCTTATGCAAACATTTGTCTTCAGTGACTGTGTTGGGAAGATGTGCATCATGGAATGCCAATTTAATACAACAAAGTGTTCTTGCACTGAGTAAGTACTTGAGTGGAGGTCCAATGTCCATCTGCTGCCTTAATACTAAACCTATAAATACATGCATGTAGATTTCACCACCAGCCTATATAAATATATTTACATATGTACATGCCTGTATTTAGACCTCTATAAATACCCTGTGTCTCCTAGTTCTTTCCTCTATTTCCTTTGACTTTCTTCTTGTCCCACTATCATGCTCAACCTTCATTTGGGTTTCAGTAATTTCTCTTGGTTACATTGCCCTTAGCAGGGCTCACAACCTCCTTGCCACTAATTTTGGATCACCTGCTGTTCCCTTGCCCCTGGGTTGGTCAAAACCACCTCCTTACCCCCGCTTCCCCCTCTCCTATGTCCTCCCAGAACCATCGGTCCCGTTTTCTCCTCCAGACTGTTTATCCAGCCTATCTTATCTAGATAGATCAGCAGAGATAATAATATGCACCCAAAAGAACAAGGCATAGCAAGACAAAGTGACAAAGGAGAACACAATGATGACAAAAAGAAAACCAATCACACATAAAAGAATAAGTTAAATTAAAAAAAAATGTTTTTTGATTTTAAAAAAGAAAAACCTGTAAATAGATCAAGGTCTGATTTTTGACCTCTAGGCGTGTCCTCCAGTCAAGTCTGATGGGGTGCCATGCTCTGGCCCCCGAGACTATCCTTTGCACCCTGCTCTGCTCCTCTGTTGCTCTACTGCACACCTTTAGTGTTTTGCCTCAGTGTTGCAGGGTCAGTCCTGGCCAATCCCGACACTGAGTCTCTAGTGTTGTCCCCATTGGGCCATGTGTCAGTGAGGGACGTCGTGTCTTATAGTGGGATCAGCCATGTGGTCCACTGTGTGCATTGGCTGTTCGATGCAGGGACATGGTCCTCCAGATCTGGTGGGTCAGGATGTATTCTCTCTCTCTTCTGCCCCATCCATTTGCTTCTGTGTGCTCTGATCAGACATGTCCCTTTGCCCTAGCTATAGCTTCAGGGCCATCCTCTAAAGTAAATTCTTCTGGGGGGAGAGGGGCTGTTGTCCACGTAGCTGGTATGGAGGCCGAGCACTCAGGCCCCTCCAGGGACTCCATTCTTGAAAACATTTTTCAAATTCATCTGATTGGATGGCTGACAGCACTGCCTCGTTTTTTGTCAAATCACTGTTTGTTTTTTAATCATTATATTGGGGGCTCATACAGCTCTTATCACAATCCATCCATCCATCCATGGTGTCAAGCAAATTTGTCCATTTGTTGCCATCATCATTTTCAAAACATTTTCTTTCTACTTGAACCCTTGGTACGAGCTCCTCAAAAATCGCTGTCTTGTCATGTCCCTCTAAATTTGCATGAACAAAAAAGTCACATGGGGCCAGGTCAGATGAGTATGGTGCATGGGCAAGAGAGGCATGCTGTTTTTGGCCAAAAAATAGCTCACTGAGATGGCTGCGTGCGCCTCATCCTAGTGGTAAAATCAGCCCCCCATCGGCCATAAATCAGGGCCTTTTTTTATTATACACTGTTACACAATCTTTTCAGACCTCTAAATAGAAAGCTTGATCAACAGTCTGTCCTGGTGGAATAGAACTCCAAATGCACTATGACTTGACATTTTCATCCGTTTGGGAAGTTGACAGACATCCAGAACTAGATTTGTCATCAATCAATATTTTACCATTTTTGGAACAAAAAAATTACTTATACACCTGAGCTTTTCCCATAGCACTGTTCTTGTAGTAAGTGTTCAACATCACAACGTTTTTTGTGGCATTTTTCCAAGCAGGAAGCAAAATTTCACAGCTGCACGCTGTTCTCTTAAATTAGCCATCACAAAAAATGAGGTTCAAGTGAAACTGCTTTTATGGAAAAAATTCACCTTTCCATGCAACGCCACTAACTCAGAGCAAGTTGCCTGATGCTCGCCTAGCGGAGGAAAATACAAACAACAAAAGCTCTGCTCTACCCAATGCAATTCCGGTTTTGTAGGGGTACCCCCTCATATACCAATCCTCAAGTACCCGCTAGCCAGCTTCAATAATTATCAACATATGGCCAATTTAGTTTGCTATTTCCACATTTCTTTTAGAAAATAACTGTTTTCAGATCGAAAATAGTCAGTCAACATTAAAATGTTCCCAAATTGTTTCAGCTGTGCTTTTACATCCAAACAAGGTTCATATATTGTCTGTACTTATCACATTCCATACATACATCAATTGTGTAAAGCGCATTTGTACATTCACTGCCCTCATCATTCTCAAAACATTTCCTCTCCACTTAAGCCCCCGGCATTAGGGCCTCATTTTTCCCCTCCCTCCATGCTCCCCCCT